CTAATGGACCTGTTACTCCAGCTCCTGGGAGAAGGTTCTGCATGCTGGGGATGGTTCAGAGTATAATCCCTATCTAATGGACCTTACTCCAGCTCTGGGAAGAAGGTTCTGCATGCTGGGGATGGTTCAGAGTATAATCCCCATCTAATGGACCTGTTACTCCAGCTCCTGGGAGAAGGTTCTGCATGCTGGGGATGGTTCAGAGTATAATCCCTATCTAATAGACCTCTCACTGCAGGTGCTGGGGAAATGTCTGGCACATAGAAGACACTCAGTAGACATACTTGTATTTAGATTTTTGCATGCTTTAGGACTGTTCTTGGGATTTGGGCACAAAGCCATATGAACCTCTGCGGTGCATCTGTCACTAAGGCTGGGGTGGTGCTGCTCTAGCCACTTTGTCTACACCATCCCAATCATCTGTTTGAAATTTGAGGAGTCTCCTCATGTTTTTCATTATCGTGCTCAAGTGTATCTATCCTTACAACTTTGAATTGAAAATATATGTATATATTTTAGGTATAATATTTCAAATATGGAGAGTGGAGATAGACTTTAAAATGACTCCTCAGGGTGGTGCCTGTGGCTCAGTGAGTAGGGCGCCGGCCCCAGATACTGAGGGTGGCAGGTTCCAACTTGGCCCCTGCCAAACTGCAACAACAACAACAAAAAATAGCTGGGCGCTGTGGGTGGGCACCTGTGGTCCCAGCTGCTCGGGAGGATGAGGCAAGAGAATCGCCTAAGCCCAAGAGCTGGAGGTTGCTGTGAACTGTGATCCCATGGCACTCTACCAAGGGTGATAAAGTAAGGCTCTGTCTCTAAAAAAAATATTAATAAAAGAAATGACTCCTCAACCTAATATGTATCTCTGTACAAACCAGAATATAGGGTATACCATTAAAGAAAAGCATCTGAAATTGGACAGCAGTGTTTTCAGTCCTGAAAATAAGTTACGTTTCATTTTATTCCTTTCACTCCTGGACACAGGGGTCTAGTGACTAGCTTCTTTGGTGTTTTGGGTGCCCAGCTCCCAGCCTGGAAGCTCCCTGAGATTGTGCCTGTGCTTGCCTGCACCCCTGTGCTGTTTTTCAGAGGTGCTTTCCTCCTGTCCAGGTGCCTCTCTGGGGCTTGAGCCTTTGCTGGTGAGCATACCCCAGGCGGTCCTTCCCTGTAGAGGAATCCTGTGTTTCCACTATACATCTATAACATCTGCATCCTTATAATATACTAAGCAGGTGATTGGTGTATTTTTATTTTGTTACTATAACCTACAGTATATCTTGTGTTTTATGATATCAGCATTAAATTTGTCCACCCCTCAATTTGTCCCCAGCAAAAGAAACCAGCAAGATATTTGATAAATACTCCTCTTTGTTATGACATCAGTAGGGTGTAAAACATATCATTTCATTGTGTCTTGCATAAATGGCTTAAATTTAGCATTGCTATAATTTTAGTGTATTCTCATCTGAATCTGAAGTCAGTCTTCAGCATAAAAACAAATGTCCTTTGCAGAAGCTTTAAAAAGTTTTTGCACATCAGATTGACATTCCCTGTCAATTCCTTTCGGCTAATTGACTAATTTAACTGTTCTGTGCTCCTTTTCAGAGGCATGGCTATTGTACCCTGGGAGAAGCCTTTAATCGGTTAGATTTCTCAAGTGCAATTCAAGATATCCGAAGGTTCAATTATGTGGTCAAAGTAAGTGATTTAGTTCACAAACTGCATTAAGGACTCTTTGAATAACTGTATTTTGAAAATTGTAAGTTTACATTCTAGAAGATGCTTTTGGCAGCTATGTAAAGGGGGCCCTGGAGAAAGCTATAAGTACTGAGGATTTTCCAGCATTGGAGTCACAGGCGGCGGGGCCTGGGATGAGCCCTCACCCACTGGTGGCTCTGTGGTTGACGAGGCATTGGGAGGAGGGGAAGAGTCAGTAAAGTTCTGAATTTTTACTCATTTTGCTATTGTTTAAACTTTAAACAATACAGAACTTGCTTAGTCAGTTCTTGTGGAGCTGAACTGAGTCTTTACTCACTTTGCTAATGAGGGATTTGGTATTTTTTGCTGCTTTCAGTGTTTATAGCTGAGAATTGTTTTGCAGGTTTTGTAAATAATATGTTTTCAAATAATCAATGCTGAGTTATTATTACTCATTGTTACTAAATAGCTACAAATAAGAAATGTACATATATTTTTTAAATGCCTGATTAAAAGCATTTTCTTCTTTTTCTAATGCTGTTTAGTAATATCTGCCCTTAAGAATTTGTATAAAAAAACTTACTAGAATGTATTTTTCAACTATCATTTTAAATAAAGTCCTTTTACTTAAACTTCTAAGTTAAATTCTAAGTCCAAACTTAGAAATTTTAAATGGAGACTAATCAGTAATTACTGCATGCTTTTTGGATAAAAATTAATATTGTGGTTTAGTGTTCAATTATGGATTGTTTCATTTATTAAAATAAATATAAGCAGTTTGGAATGAAAGTTTAATTTTTACTCTCCTATACCTTGGCATAACTGAAAATTGAATATGTTCAAAAAACAGAAATCCATATTTATTCTACAATTCTATATATAAAATCATAAGATGGTTTGGGACTGTTAAAAATATTTGAAATTGGCATATTTTTCATAATTTTTCAAAATTTCACTCTAATTTTGAGGATTTTTGTTTTCCTAAGCTTAATTCGTTTTAACTTTTTAGAGAGTAGAGTACTAATTTTACCTGCACTTAGAGCCTCATCAGTGTCAGTATTGCTGCTCCAGAGGAGGCCAGTGCACTGAGACAGCAGAGAAAGTTTAACATACCAGGCCCTGTTCAAAGAGACACGGGAAATTTCTCAAATCCACCTGAGAATTTGAGGAAAATAATTTTTAAAGATAGTTTGATGGGCAAAGAGCTAGGCAGTTGGATCTACTGCTTATCTGGGTTTGGGGTGAAAGTATAGGGGCATAGAAATCGTCATCTCTGCTGAGTCAGTGGCCTGGAAGATACTTCAGAAGCCACCCTGAGGGCTCGCAGCGTGATGCTACCATGGGAACAGTGAAAAAAGTGAAGAATCTTCCTGAGTGTCAGCCATGGGGCTCCTGAATAGTGAGGAGCTGTAGGGGAGCCAGCGAGGGGATAGCAGCTGGTGTTGGACTACTGTAGGGCCCACTGAGTGTCCCTATAATTCCATACAGGGGAGTTTCACTACCTCAGAATCACTGTTGAACTAGTCACTCTTGCCTGCTGGTGCTGGTAGGAGCTATAGTGAAGCCTAAAAATGTGGGTAATGCCTTGCTCTTTCTGCAAAAGTCTGTTTGCCAAACTCCTCTCGTGAACTGGTAAGTTCTTAAATGTTGTGCACATGGGCATTTTGGTCCATCTGGTCATGGAAGTACAATTTGGGAAACATAAATCCTACACGTTTCTACAGTCGGCTAACAACTCTGTAAACACAAACTCACAACCTGCACTGCTGAACTTGTACACTTGTGAATTAGCCATTTTTCATCTCTAGTGTTCTGTTAAACTATAAGTGGCAGAAAACAAGTCACACTCAGTGGAGGTTTATTAACAGAAGGTTTCAAAACTGCCCTGTATGGAATTACAGGGACACACAGTGGGCACTGTAGTAGGGGACTATGCTCGTCCCCTGAGGATGGCCCAGGAAAAACACAAACCACTGAAAAGTGTTGGTTGTTTTCCTGAAGAAATTGGAACCTTTGACATTTAAAAGCAATAGAGGAAAGGAAAAAGGTGAGGGTGGGGGAGTATATATAATGCAGCAAAGTGGTTATGTTCTTCTGAGGTCAGGGAAGTCCATCTTTCACATAAAACAAGGGGAATGTTTTAGAAGGGAAAAGGGAGCAAAGGAACCAGAAGTTATATGGATGTCCCCGGACAGGTGGAAACCTGTCTGATGCTGTGTTGTTTACATGTTAGCTGTAAAGATAAACCTGTAAACAGATGGACTTTAGGTGCTGGACACAGGCACGTTTGGATGTCCTTGCTTGTGGAAAGTCAGCAAGGAATTTTCTAAATGAATGACTTATGGGGCCAGATCATCCCAGGTGCCTAAGGCCTTTACTTTGACTTCAGGAGGTGACTGTGTCCTGCACTTGGTCTTAGGCTGACGCAGTGACTGCATTTGGAGTCCGTGTGTTTGCGTGCCCACGTGTGGGGTTCACGTTTCCGGAACGGACTTAGACAGGGCTCAGCTTTTCTCTTCTTTCCTTTAGCTGTTGCAGCTCATTGCAAAGTCCCAGTTAACTTCACTGAGTGGTGTGGCACAAAAGAATTACTTCAACATTTTGGATAAGATTGTTCAAAAGGGTAAGATGCTCACTGATATTTTTAATAATCTAAATCTTAATTAGAAATTTGGCCAAAGGAGATGGTATTTTTCTCTTGTCTTTTCCCAATGTGCGTGCTGTCAAAACACTGATGTGAATCTGTGGCATTGTCGGATAGGAGTACAGGTTATCCTGCCTGTTGCCAGGGCTCATGCTGTTTACTTTGTTTTTAAGTTGCTTTTGCACACAGAAGGGTATATTAGGGAAAATGATTAATCCCACGGTTTTAAAAAAGGTATTTTACCGTTTTATAGTTAGTGAATCAGTTTATTTTAGCTGTATGGTTTATAATTAGCAAGATGGTGACTTATTCACGTGAGTGTCAGATAAGCCAATAATTTTTTATAATTAGCTTACTTCAGTTAATTAGTGGCTATTAGTAAATGAAACTTTAAATTTCACACTATGAGTATAAGCCATTTTAAAATGTTAATTTTCTTTATGATAAGCACAAAGGAAATTATAAACTGATACTCTTAAAGAGAAAATTATAGACCCAACTGAAAATTTACCATCAGACAAAATTTTAAAGTGTTCAAAAATCTCATTATACTAACAGAATCTCAAAAATGATGCTACTTTTGGGTTGCAGTGAACTTAGATTTTTTTTATTGTGTTAAAATACAAATAGCATAGGCTGGGCACCTATAGCTCCATGGTTGGGGGAAGGCTGATAGATTCAAACCCAGCCCGGGCCTGCTGAACAACAATGACAACAACAATAAAAATAGACGGGCATTGTGGCAGGCGCCTGTAGTCCCAGCTACGTGGAGGCTGAGGCAAGAGAATTGCTGAAGCCCAAGAGTTTGAGGTTGCTGTGAGCTGTGACGCCATAGCACTCTACCAAGGGTGACATAGTGAGACTATCTCAAAAAAAAAAAAAAAAAGGGCACCTGTGACTCAGTGAGTAGGGTGCCAGCCCCATATACTGAGGGTGGTGGGTTCAGACCCGGCCCCGTCCAAACTGCAACAAAAAAATAGCCAGGCATTGTGGCAGACACCTGTAGTCCCAGCTACTCTGGAGGCTGAGGCAGGAGAATTGCTAAGCCCAGGAGTTGAAGGTTGCTGTGAGCTGTGACACCATGGCATTCTACCGAGGGTGATAAAGTGAGACTCTATCTCTAAAAAAAAAGTAAAATAAAATACAAATAGCATAAAATTTATCATTTTTCAGTATATAGTTCGGTGGCATTGAGTCCACGTGTGCTGTTGTGCAGCCACCACTACTGTCCATCTCCAGAACTCCTTCACTGTCCCAAACTGGAACTCTGTCCCCATTAAACACTAATGTGCCCTCCTGCCACCCCCATCTCAGCTGACCATTGTTCCTCTTTCTGTCTCTGTGAATTGGACTGCTGTGGGTGCCTCACGTGAGTGGAATCATGCATTGTCTGTTCCTTTGCAATTGGCATAGTTTACTTGACATGATGATGTCCTCAAGGTTCATCCATGTTGAAGAAATTGTCACAATTTCCTTCCTTGGGTATAGGTCACATGTGGTCTGTCTTTTCATCTGTTGACAGGTATTTGGGTTGTGAAACTAGGCAGTTTTTAAAAGCAGTGGCTAACTGTCAGTACAGTTTTGTTTTTGTTTATTCCAGTCCTTGATGACCACCACAATCCTCGCCTGATCAAAGATCTTCTCCAAGACCTGAGCTCTACCCTCTGTATCCTTATTAGAGGAGTGGGGAAGTCTGTGTTGGTGGGAAACATCAACATTTGGATTTGCCGATTGGAAACTATTCTCACCTGGCAACAGCAGCTGCAGAATCTCCAGATGACTAAGGTCTGAATCTCTTGATTAGAAGGAATACTGTGTTCTGTTTTCACATCACAAAAGTCATTACCTCTTCATATGAGAGGTTATTACGGCTTTTTGAAAGTTTTTTCTTAACCTTGTCACAGTATTAATTAAATTGCTTTAAAATAGAATTGAACCAAAAAAACCCCTTAATAGTTTATAGTTATTGGAAAGACTAGGGGTAGTAACCATCAGACAGGGCTGATCCAGGGGGATTGGGTGGTAAATTAATTCACTTTAAAGGAAAATAAGTATTTCAGTTGTTAAAATAGTATTTAATAAATTAAGGCTAAATTGTGTAGCCAGTAACTGTCCATTTATCTGGTTTCTGCTTCCCCAAGATAAATAGCCTTTCCCCCCCCTTACCCCCTGTTTGGGGCGTGTGTGTATGTGGGGGGCTTTAACAGCAGTGGACAAGGCAAATTGCTCTTATAAATCACGTTAGTTTTAATTCTGTTTATTCCAGTAACTAGTTTCAATAAGAAAAAAATTAAAATCATTGACTAGTGTGTTAGATTGTGTTTTATTTATCTGTAATTCTGATAAGAGAAGGAATAAACTGAATACACACCTTAGCGTCATAAATTATGTGGCCTTTATGGTGTAAATAAGTTTCCAAATTGTACTGGCAGGGTCACACTCACCTTTATCCCTGCAGCCAGGTTTTGGTGACAGGAGTTCTTTCCGGGTGGGGTTGAAGTACCTTAACTGTTGGTCATTTGCCGTCTAAAATAGGGTTTACAGAAAGAGTAGTGATTTGCTAATTATGAGTCTGAAATATGATTTTTTTTTTTTGAGATAGAGTCTCAGGATATCACCCTCAGTAGAGTGCAGTGGTATCACAGCTCAAACCAACCTTAAGCTCTTGGGCTTAAGTGATTGTTTTGCCTCAGCCTCCCTAGTAGCTGGGACTACAGGCGCCACAATGCCCACAATGCCCAGCTATTTTTTTTGTTGCAGTTGTCATTGTTTTTTAGCAGTTCTGGGCTGGGTTTGAACCCGCCTGCATTAGTGTATGTGGCCAGTGCCCTAACCACTGAGCTATGGGCCCTGAGCCTGAAATAATGATTAATAGCCTAGTATTCAGCACCAGTAAGAACTAAGCAAATTTGGCTCGGCACCTGTAGCTCAGTGGCTAGGGTGCCAGCCACATACACTGAAGCTGATGGGTTCAAATCCAGCCCAGGCCTGCCAAACAACAACAACTACAACCAAAAAAAAATAAAAATAGCTGGGTGTTGTGGTGGGCACCTATAGTCTCAGCTACTTGGGAGGCTAAGGCAAGAGAATCGCTTAAGCCCACGAGTTTGAGCTGTGACGCCACGGCACTCTACTGAGGGTGACAGCTTAAGACTATCTCCAAAAAAAGAAAGAACTAAGCAGATTTGTTCCAAGCATTGGACTGTTTGCTCTGTTGTTTTACATGTGACACTACCAGGGATTCAGAGCTCTCCATGGTCTGGCCCTACCCATCTGTTCTGTCTCATTCCCATGTAGAGGTAGGTTATGTCATACAGGTACAGGTCCACCTGCTGGACATGTGAACATGTTCATGGTTTGCTGCAGATGCCCTGACATGCACAGCCTGGTTCTGTGGCCCAGGTGTCCCTCACCCCAGTGTGCTTATTACGCACTGGAGAGTGAAGCCTTTCCTTGTCTGTGATGCAGTTTTAATGGTCAGGATTCCTAAGGAAGGGGGGTGTTTGGGAGAGGCCGGCAAGCACCCTTTCAGGTCTTTCTGGAAGTTCCAGGTTGGACTTAGCAGCCACACACATTAAAAGAGAAACGTAGATTAACGATAGCCTCAGAACAGTGAGGGTAGCAGAGAAGCTGCAAAGGTGGTGGCCACACATACAGGAAGGGGCAGGAGAGGGGAGGGCAAGGAACAGTGTTTCTTCTTTGGTAGGTAGCCTGCGGCAGAGCAAGGGAAAGGGCAGTGCGCGCTAAGCTTCCTTCTCCGTCTTAACTTCCACTCAAACAGTGGCCCGGCAGAGAAGCAGGCAGAGGGCATCATTTGCTCTGAGGGGTAGCCACTCTGGTTTTGGCCTCAGGCAGGTCCCACAGCCCTGGTGCCTCCTTTTTGGCTCCGCACAGAAGACCAGAGCCACTGTCACACCATTCTGATCAAGTAGGAAAAATGAAGTACAGAAGGGAAGGGAGTGATGACACTTGACAGAGGGACAGGCAGCTGTGAAAGCAGCACACAGAGAGGCTGGTTTTCCTCGCGCCTGCGCAGCTCTTACCCCTGAGACTGGTTCTTTCTGAGTTGCAGGTTGCTAAGGTCTTTCCTGTGCACTCCCTGACTGTGCCTCTGGGGCCTGTCTGCCCAGCATGGTGGTAGCTTTGGCCAGGTGGGGACGCTGGGGCTTTGTGTCCAGCCTTGGAAGGCTAATATCAGTTCAGGTGCCACAGAGGACTTTGACCTTTCTGGGAATGTTACTTGAGACCAATGGAAAGAGCTACTTACAGCATCAAAGCCCAGAGGTTTGTGGACATGGGACTGAGCCAGCTGAGTCGGTCTGTGGATGCTTCTGAGGACAGTGATCCTGGTCTTTATCCAGGTTGCTGCCTGATGTTTATTTCTCTTAAGGGTTTTTGTGTGTGTGTGTGTGTTAAGTTTATGTTTTGTCATATTACTATTTTTTTAGAGGTAGGATCTTGGTGTATTACCCAAGTTGGAGTACAGTTGCATCATCACAGCTCACTACAACCTCAAACTCCTGGGCTCAAGTGGTCCTCCTGCCTCAGCCTCCCAAGTAGCTGGGACTACAGGCACCTGCCCCCATGCCTGGCTAATTTTTCTATTTTTAGTAGAGATGGGCTCTTATTGCCCAGGCTGGTATCAAACTCCTGCTCTTAAGCAACCCTCCCACCTTGGTCTCCCCAAGTGTTGGGATTATAGATGTGAGCCACCTTGCCCAGCCCGCCTTCAGTTTTAAGGTGATATGAACAGATGGGGGCAGAGCTACTGGGAGGTCCAAGAACCCTGGGGGTGAAGTCTGTGTGCTCTGCATGAAGTTCAGCCTCATGTGGTGAGGGCCGGTTTTCTCCCATGAGTCAGCAGTCTACTTTCTTTTCTAAATTCTCATATTTCCCAAAGTAAGAAGCTCCATGTGTATCATCTTTGAAAAGTTTATAAGAACACTAGAAGTGCTGCTGTTTTCTCAGTTGTAAAACACACATACTTTGTTTTTTAAGCTGCATTCGAAGATGATGAATCTGAGCTCACACATAGCTCCTGTGACCAGTTAGGGTGGGCTCTGTGTGTCAAGCCCATTGTGAGCAAGTGTCATGTTGGTCTCAGACTCCAGGGGCCCAGGGAGCTGTGCGTGGCTCAGAGTGGTTGGGTGGGGTTGAGGAGTCATAATCAAAGGTGCACATGAGCTGCAGACAAGGCCCATCCCTTCATAAATGCTGTGACACTTCAGGTGGAGCCAAACACATGGGTGGTGCTGTGCGGTCAGTGCCCAGCAGCTGGCTCTCAGGGGACAGGAGCTCTGACCTGTGTCACTTGTCATTTTCCCAATGTGGCTGATTTTACGCCACCAACAAAGTAGACTACCTCACAAAATTCCTGTGTTAATTAGGTTGATTGTGGTAATCATTTTGTAACATATGTAAACATTACAACATCATGTACTGTAAATATATACAATTTTCATATCAGTTACACCTCAATAAAGAAAAGTTAAAATTTTTATATTATTAAAATAAGTATAGGTAAAGCTTGATCAGGCCCTTAAGATGTGGTCAACCTTCTCACCTCTGAGAAACAAGCCACGCCCCAAAGATGGGGGTTGGGGGGCTCGGAGCATTCCCAGCTGAGTCCCCTCCCAGTGAGCCTTCTGGCTGATGCTGCCAGCAGTTCCACATATGATTCCTGTAGACTTTACAGTCAAGTCCTTGCTCCTGGCATGGAGAGTAGGGTGGAGGTGTAGTGGGGGGAGCTAGCACCAGCCTGCCCAGCATCATGAGACCTTCACACCTGTGGAGTAGGGGGCACAGTGATGCCTTAGCAGGAGGGCTCCTCTGGAACTAGAGTGTCTCACAAGCCCAACTGCCATATCCCTATGACCAGACACTGAGTCTTGTCTTCTCAGTAACGTGCCGTGTGTCTTCCTTCCAGCAAGTGGACAGTGGGCTCACGCTCAGTGACCTCCCTCTGCACATGCTGAACAACATCCTGTACCGCTTCTCAGATGGCTGGGACATCGTCACTCTGGGCCAAGTGACCCCCACCCTGTACATGCTTAGTGAGGACAGGCAGCTGTGGAAGAGGCTGTGTCAGTACCACTTTGCCGAAAAGCAGGTGAGTGTGGCATAGCCAGGCCCTGGCTGGAGAGGGTGGCCAGGTGTTCCCACTTCTAAGGTGTCACAATAGTCAGGAATCTAGAAATCCCTCAGGGTTTCTCTATAGATTGTAAGGTTTGTTCTTCATAGTCAAAAAGAAACGTAATTCTAAACATAAGCTAAAACCAAGCAGCAGAGCAGGAGCTGACGAGGGGTACCTCCACTTCTCTTTGTCCACTGAGTCTGCATGTCCTGAGCATCCATGAGCCCTTGAGAAGCTCATTCAGTTCTTGTCACCACTCAGCTGAGGGCAGCACAAGCATGTCTGGGTGTACTTCGTTTGGAGTCTACTTCCTTGTCATAGCACAGTCCGGTGGGCCCCATCACCAGGCCTCTGTGGGACTTGGTGTCCTTTGTTCCCCCTGTAGATGTGCAGGGGAGAGGGAGACATGCTCAGTCTTCACCAGGTGGGCTGTGCCCCTCCGGCAGCACTGCCCACCTTGGAGCACAGCATGGGGGCCAGGGTGCAACTGGGGAGAATTACTGCCGCCTGCAGGTCTTTGACAGAGGGAAGGGCCTGACAAAGGGAGGGTGTTGTATGTTGAGTGGGGCCGAGGGAGTGAGGCTGTGGCTCAGCCATCCTGGGACCCTTGTCCTCAGAGGAGCCAGCACCGCCCTGGGATGCGGTTCAACTCTGAATAGCCTTAGTTCCTGTTGAGGGACTGGCTGGGGGATGCCAGGAGACCTGTCTTGGGAAAGGAAGGTGGTGGGCAGGAAACTGGCCAGGCCAACGGGAAGGCAGATCTGAGTGGAGGTTCTCGCAGAGAGCAGCATGTGTTGGAGAGGCCTGGACAGACTTGTGGAGAGAGGACAGAGTAATGGGGCAGAGCCTCAAGGATGCCCACTGAGGAGATACCACAGAGGATGTGGGGATCAAGCTGCTCAGGTGCTCAGATCCAGGGTATGGGACCCACAGGAGAGGTCAGCAAGAGGCTCTGACTCCTGGAGAAACCATCTCGTGGGCTTGTTGGGGAGAAGCAAAGAGATTCTGGTGTTGATTTGCCCAGAGGATGGTGGCTGGGTTCTCAGTACCAGATGTGGGTGGAGCATGCTGCACAGTGTCTGGAGGGAGGGTCTGGATCCTGAGAGGGAGGGGAGGGGGTCTAGGCCTGGCTGGTAATTACCACACGTGCTAGGAGTCCTGACAGGTGTTCACATGTCTAGACCTACGTGTGTCTTAGGGACGTCTGTTGACCTCTGTAGTCCTTGAAGCTCTTTAAAGGAACCACTGTAAAGAAGGTTCATGATTTATGTTAAAGTCCTCCCAGAACAGGTGGGTTAGAATTAGGGATGTAGGTGTACCTTGTTTGTACACATTTCCTTAATTGAATTATAAAAACATAGCATCAAAATATTATCTGTTCTTTAGGGCTCAGTAAGTCACAGTAAGGCCCTGAAAAAAGATGAAGATATTAGGAGTAACTTTGGTGCCAGGTGGGGAAGTGTCCTCATAGTGAAATTTGATGCCCAGGAACGAGGGAAGGAAGAGCTTCTGTGTTCTCTTGAGTGTTCTCTTGACTTGAGTGTCTGTTTTGGGTGTTGGATTTGAGTCCAGAAGACCACAAATGGTTACTTAAGGGAAAAAAGATGGTGGAAGCACTTCCCTCTGTGGACACAGGAGTAGCACAGAGTCAGTGAAGCAGAAAAGGGACAGTAGCACTTGTCTTTACTCTCTAATGTTTGAGTGGTGCTTGGAAGATAGAGAAATTAATAGAACCTTTTTACTTTTCAAATTCTGATAGAAATGAGAGTTCCTCATTGGCTCTGTGATAACTTCCAGAGTCCTCAGAAGCCATGACTGAAGTAGGAGATGAAAAGTAAAGCATGCTTGTTGGAACCAATGACTAGTACAGTGTTTTATACCCTGGGAGGTGCTTACCCCCTACTCAAGGGCAACCCTGAGTTTATTAGCTTGTGCATTTTGTTGATTCAGGTTTTTGTATGTACTCAAACATACACACAGATTGACCTAGCTGTGTGCTGTTACCTTCCTACACTCTGTAAAGATGGTGTTTTGGTAACATTGCAATTAGTGGCCACTTCTGTCCCTCCTCAGCCCTGGGCCACCCAGGCCTCTTTCTTTTTGTCTTTCCCTGTTCTGATGTTTGATGTAAGTGGAGTGTGCAGTACATGGCCTTTCGTAAGTGGCTTCTTTCCATTTGCACGTCCTCAAGACTCTGTCTTGTCAACTTCATTCCCTTTTAGGGCTGAATAAAATTCCACTCTAGGTATATATTACATTTTTTTATCTGTTTAGCAGTTGATGGACATTTGGTTTGTTTCATGAAAGTTTTGAGGCTTTTATAAAAAATGCTACTGAACATTCCTGTTTGAGTTTGTGTGTAGACACATGTTCATTTCTCTTAGGTGCATACCTAGGAGTGAAATTTCTGGGTCATATAGTGACTCTGTAACTTTTTGAAGAATTGTCAGTCTGTTTTCTTTCTTTTTTTTTCTTGAGACAGAGTCTCACTTTGTTGCCCTGGGTAGAGTGCTGTGATGTCATAGCTCACAGCAACCTCCAACTCTTGGGCTCTAGCGATTCTCTTGCCTCAGCCTCCTGAGTAGCTAGGACTACAGGTGCCTGCCACAATGCCCTGCTGTTTTTTGAGATGGGGTCTCACTCTGGCTCAGGCTGGTCTCAAACCCATGAGCTCAGGCAATCCTCCAGCCTCGGCCTCCCAAGTGCTGGGATTATAGGCATAAGCCACTGTGCCCAGCCTGTCAGACTGTTTTCCAAAGTGGCTGCGTCATGCACATCCTACAGCCATGTATGTGTGAGGGTTCCCAGTTCTCTGCCTGCTCAGTATCTGTGATTATCTGTGATTAGCCATCCTACTGGGCACAAAGTGGTATTTCATTCCATTTCACTGAGGACTGTGTTACTAAGCTTCTTTGCATGAGGTTATTGGCCATTTTGTGTTTCGTCTTTGGAGAAATGTCTTTTCAAGTCCTTTGCACAACTATAAATTGAGTTATTGTCTTTTCATTATTGAGTTGTGTTCTTTATATAACCAAAATATACACGTTCCTTCTCAAATATATGGTGTGTGTAACTTATTCTAACTTTAAATAATATGTCACAGACGTCGTTCCAGATAAGAATATTTAAGTCTGTCTAACAGACGCTTGGTGTTCCATTATACAGACGATCCATGATTTATTTGATTCGTGCCTTATTGATTTAATCCAAGTAAGTTTAATTTCTAATAATTAAATGTTTTATATGTGATACTACCTTTTAAAAACAGTTTTGCACCCAGTGTTATGCTTTAAAAATCACCATCTGATTCTGAACAGAATTTTGTTTGTGTTTAGTTTTGTAGACATTTGATCCTTTCAGAAAAAGGTCATGTCGAATGGAAGTTGATGTATTTTGCACTTCAGAAATATTACCCCACTAAAGAACAGTATGGAGACACTTTACATTTTTGTCGGCACTGCAGCATTCTCTTTTGGAAGGTAATAATTTAAAATACACTCTTGGAAGTTGAGGATTAAAATTTGATGAAACAGACTATTCAACTATATTGTAAGTGTAAAGGTAAAAAAAAAAAAAAAAAGGAAAATACTGTTTGTGTTACCTCAGACAGGAGGCTGCCCCCCGAGGAATTTTCCTCTCATCACCACCAGTTTGTGATAAGAAACATCCAATGTTGGGGCTAGGGGGCAGATGTCCATAGAAGTCAACTGTGCCACTCGTGATGTGGATCAGAAATGGCAAGTGGTGCTTTTCCCTGGGGCGACCCTCTCCCTCCCAGATGGTCGTGTGCAGGAGGTATACCCTAGGACAGGGCTGTGGGTACCAGGATGACCTTCTACTTGAGGATAAGGTTTGTTTTTCCCTCTTCCGCTCTTCTCTAAATCTGAGGAAGAATCCACTTAGCCGTCCATTCTGAGGATGGTCCCCCTGAGTCTGCAGGGGCTAGGATGGGTCTTGGGTGTCCTTTCTTAGTTCAGAGGGTCCACACAGAGGTCATAGCTTTAAAATAATCTGTACTTTGCTCACTTATTTGATCTAAACTTGACAAGACTGCCATTATTTTATCTGCAAGTCTGATCCTTTAGTGAAAAACTTAGGGTTATTCTCAGCAACTTTGGTGTCCAAGGAGTAAAGTAGGAGTCACCAACCTGCCCTGTCTTGTGTCTCACTCACCAGACATCCTTGACCATGTGTCCACAGTCAGAGGTAGTGGTCTGTGTGCCACTTCTGTGGAATAAATAAATCATCTTCTGAACATATGAATATTGTTTCACCCTGGAATCCATTTCCATGGTTTGATGTTAGAGGAAAGTGTTGGCCACCAGGCCACACAGGGGTTCCCTAGACATCCCTGTTTAGGACCAGTGCCCATAGCAAGGGGCCGTCTCTGCCTCCTGCTGCCTCTGGGCCTGGTAGATGCCATATCTTGTTTTGAGTATTTCTTTTGCGTTACATTTATCTAAATTTGTTATCAGATGAGTCACTAGGCAAGCTCTGGATTGTTGGAAAAGAAGCAACTGTTTTTAATTTTCTATATTTCAAATTACATTTATACTAGGGTGGCTTTTTTGTTATAGTCCGTGGTTGAGCAAAGATGTGGTAAGTTTTTCTTGTATTACTTAAATTTATCAAAGATAAACAGCAGCATGCATGAGTAACTTGAGATTTTGTCATTTCTGATTTACTGTTTTATATTTTAGTGTGACCTGCCCTTTTCCCTGAAATAAAAAAGATGCAAAATTTGTGTTGTGTTTTTGCTGTAGTACAATTGCTTATAGAATGCTGCCCCTCCAGAATGGCTTGTGTTCACCTCTATCTGAGTGATGAGGTTGCTAAGCAGCTCTCAGGGGTGGCACGCAGGACGGAGCTCTTACCCAGGCCCCCTCCCCAATCTCAAGGCACAGAGCCCAGCATGGTGGGCGAGTTTGTGCACCAAGACCATAGGCAGGCAGCTGGTGGTAGCTGTGGCATTTCTAGGATGAATGTCTGTGCGGCTGGGACATGAGGAGGGGTCTTCACTCACGGAGTTCTGAGAGTAAACAAGATGCCATCCTTTCTAGTTGAGTTAATGCTTCTCCTCAGAGCTATTTTTTTCTTTTTTCTCATGAGCAGATTGTTATCCTACAGAAATACTGAGGCAGTGGTCCTATTGGAGGGTAACACGGCCGTGGGCTGAAGGCTTTTGTTTTTTTTTGTTTTTTTTTT